CCTGCCCGGACACTTAGCAGGTAACCTTGAACAGCCTTCAACCTTCTGGGGAGTGCGCCAGAAACCTTGTGAAGCGAGTTTAGGGTTTACGGGTTTTAGGGTTTGGGGCTTAGGGTTTGGGGTTTAGGGTTTTTAGGGTCTGGGGCCATAGGGAAACGGTACGAGAAGAGCACGCAGGAGGGCCGAAAGAACTCTGCTGGCCACTCGGGGCGGGTGACGTGCCTTCGGCTTGATCTTGGTGATCGCTCTAGATCAGGGGGCATGTGCAGTGCCCTCAGCTGCTTTCAAAAGTATGGGAAAAGCCGCAAAGTCCCTCAAGCCCTATACCCTGAAGAATGCCCGAACTTTTCTGGGTGGTTCTTTTGCAGGGACCTGCTCTGCTTTGTGTGGTTCTCGCTCTAAACCCTAAACCCTAAACTCTGTTGGAAGATCGGTTTAAGCGTGTTGGGCGGGGTCCGTGTTTGTGTGTGTGTGTGTTTTTTAAAGTGTGGCTCGGCCAGGAGGACTGCGGTCCTCTGGTCCACTTGTGCACTTCGGGTTTAGGGGTTTAGGGTTTAGGGTTTTGGGTTTAGTGTTTAGGGTTTAGGGTTCAGGGTTTAGGGTTTAACGTTAGGGCGATTAAAGGCATCTATGCCACCAAGAGGAGCCAGGTCAACACCCAGATGAGTCCTTGCCAGCACCCGTGATACAAGCATCGTGTTGGTACGTATGATTCGCTAGGTAGACCCTTGGGGTCTCTTCCATTTTCCCTTCTTGGGTTCATATAAGATTGCTTCTGTTGTCCCTTAATGGGTTTATATGAGAGGAGCATATGTAGGAATATATTCTTCAGAGGGCTTGAATTTAAGAACCATCCTAGTTCCTTTTCAAGCCCATCACACAAGCATTCTGTGACAAGAGCAGCAGTTTCTCGGCTCCCGCCGACGTGGATCTTCGTTTGTACGGCAAGCTATTCGGGATTCACAATGCGGAGGTTGCGCCAGGGCTTGGGACCGAAACCCTAAAACCCCAAAACCCTAAAACCCTAAAACCCTAAAACCCTAAAACCCTAAAACCCTAAAACCCTAAAATCCTAAAACCCTAAAACCCTAAAACCCTAAAACCCTAAACCCTAAGCCCCAAGCCCTAAACCCGAAGCCCTAAACCCTAAACCCTACTGCAGTTGGGATTCACCATTTGGAGGTCACGGCTTTCTGGCCTTGCGGGCTCACGAAATGCGAAACATGCGAAAGTTGTCGTCGCGTTTTGAAAGCGAAGCCGATGGCGTGCGGAGCCAAAATCAACTTTTCCTGGCTGGTTCTTAGTAGGGAAGGAGGGAATGAGGTACCCTAAACCCTAAAACCTAAACCCTAAACCCCCTATATAAGCCCTTCAGGTCCCCAATTCCCTTATTCCCTACGAAGAATCAGGGTTGTTTTTAGTACAGACGTCTGCCGCACCCTTAAGCCAAGATCAGCCCAGTCAGTCATGGATGCGCTTGGATCATAAGCCAACCTTCAATCCCCTAAACCCTTAACCCTAGACCCTAAACCCTTGCGCACCCTGACCCGTATAACCCCTAAGGCCCTAAACTACTATTTGCTTAAGAACCCCAATCGAATAACAAAAACTAGTTGTCCGCGCACTGCCCTTATAAGTAAGACCTGCTATTACTATTGCTATCACTATCATTCTTGTTCTTAGTACGTATTATTAATACGGTTACCATTATTACTATCTCTTACCATTACTAGTATTTATTATTAATGTTATTATTATCACTATTTTTAATATTAGAGTATGAGTACTACTTTCTATTATGTGTCATGTTTTTGTTGGGGTGAGGGCGGGTTGGAGAGCAAATAGTAGTAAGCTGAATCAAGCCGAGGCAGCTGCCACCCGCGCTCACTTTGAGCCGCTTCCCTGCAGGAAAATTCCCACGACTGCGGATCTTCCGAGACCCCTTGAATGGGGTTGGGTTTAGGGGTTTAGGGGTGTTAAGGTGTTAGGGTGTTAGGGTTTAGGGTTTAGGGTATACCTGGTTCGATTTCAAGGCTCCCTTTTCACTTTATTGTGTTCCTCAGCTTTCGGGGTCTCTCTGACAGGACAGCGAATGCCTTTTGAACCGGTCAGGACTAATTCAAAGGTCGAGTTTCATCCAAGGTTGGGGGTTTAGGTTTGACAGTTGGTATGTTCCCCCTTATACTCACAGTCCTCAATAGGGATTGTAGTAGGGGGTACCTTTTTGAAGACTGTTAGTTTTAGGGGGAGCATCCGAAGGTTTAGGGTGCCAGTATATGGGGGAACATCCCAAGGTTTGGGTGTCAGTTTTAGGGGGAACATCCCACGGTTTGGGGTTCAGGGTTCAGGGCATCCCTAACCCTAAACCCTAAACCCTAAACCCTAAACCCTAAACCCTAAACCCTAAACCCTAAGTTCCCAAGAATCCATGGCATCCCAGGTGCCAGCGAGCTGCTAGAGAGCCTGAGCTGCAAAGCACATGCTAACCAAGGCATCTGTTTAGGGTCGCCTAAACCCTAAACCCGAAACCCGAAACCCTGAACCTGAACCCCCAGGTCTTCCTTGCAGATGTGCTGGTGCAATCTGGTGCCCCTCTAAACTACGGAGGTTGCATTTGTTCTTGGGCGTATATATCTGCATGGGGGTTTTGCGAGAGTAAGGGAAGCCCAATGGTAGACCATTCCCTCACAATCAGTAAGCACCCCAATAAAATCTCTAATTTCGGAAACCCTAAACCCTAAACCCTAAACCCTAAACCCTAAGCCCCCATATGTATGTACATATATGTCCCCTTTGCATTCCAGCTTTGCAGGATTTGGGGGCCCGGTACTTCGGGGCACTGGACCGAGGGACCATGGGCATCCCAGCCGGTATTTCTACTATTGTCATTAATTGGGATGTTCCCCCTTGCACTAACGGTCCTTAATGGGGATGATCATAGGGATTACAATCTGGGCACTATAATCCCTGTTTAGGACTGTTAGTATAAGGGGGAACATCCCAACTTAATGTCATTATGTCTTAGGGATTGTCTAAATTAGTGTTGTTGTTGTTGTTGTTGTTGTTGTTGCTGCTGCTCTTGTTGTCACTATGTTTAACGTTGGTGTTGTTGTGTCTTAATTGTTGTTAAATGACCCTAAACCCTAAACCCTAAACGCTAAACCAGAAACGCAAGGATCGCCTCGCCACCAGGGCAGCGGCTGATAAGCACGGCTCAGTTGCCCGGCGTCAGTTTGGGTTCAGGTTGGGATTTTCCCCCTTACACTAGCAGTCCTTAAGGGTTTAGGGTTTAGGGTTTAGGAAAAGAAGGGCTGCTAGTACAAGGGGGAATATCCTAAGGTTTAGGGTTTAGGGTTTGGGGCCTCGAACCGCCTTGCGACCCCGTGGGCAAGGATCTGAACCCTTATGGGATAGTTCTCCATGGGGCGCGATCTTGCACTTCAAGTGAGGCGTCACCGCCCACCCACACCGCAACCCTAGAAGCCCTAGAAACCCTGTAAACCCTATAAACCCTATGAACCCAACCCTATACACCCTACAAACCACCCACCCCTTAACGCGCATTCACAGCCGTTAAACGACTCACGGTTGAACTGCAGCTTTTCTCAACACTGACTTCTGAACTCACACGTGGAGGTTCATGGGTAGTGACATATGAGTAGGGCTATAACTATGGATATCCCTTGGTAGGATACTTTAGGGCACTTATCACCCTACTTGTATCTAGCTACTTGCCCCAAGCAAGATATCAGAGTAAACACCGCTCTCGCAGAACGGGTGCGCAGAAGCATGCTGTCAAATTGTGTTGCGGAGTCTGCTTTACCTTCTGCTGAAGGCTTCGTGATCTCTGTGATTTCAGAAACGAACTAACTCCAAAGTTCAGATGTTCGTTGTTTTTTCATATACCCAGAAGCACATTCAAAAAAAACTATATATACATATATACATCTTATAATATAATACGTATATACATAAATATAAGATAATATAATATAATCCAATATCATATCATCTCATATCATATACATATTTGTCTACTATTTACTTTTTTTTCGAAAGGCAAGGTGCCGCAAGGGGGCCCCAGCTTCGATGGAGGGCCCCACGCCAGGGTTTAGGGTTTAGGGTTTAGGGTTTAGGGTTTAGGGTTTAGGGTTTAGGGTTTAGGGTTTAGGGTTTAGGGTTTAGGGTTTAGGGCACTTTGCCGTTTCCCTCGGTTAGGGTTTACGGCTTTGGGCTTAGGGTGGTTATGTACACAGCCTACACCCTAAGTCCTCACGATCTTTGGCGCACTTTTGTACAGTATGAACGACAAAACCACTGTTTGCTTAAGAACCCCCCCCCCCCCCCCCCCCCCCAAAAAAAAAAAAAAAAACATAAAGAATAATGATCCCTGAATTTCCCTTATTAGGCAGAATATTACCCTAAACCCTAAACCCTAAACCCTTAACCGTGGGGGGCTTCTTTAACAATTCTTAGAAAAGCCAGGCTTGAGCATGGCTTCGCCATGCTGCTTCCCTCCGCGCCAAAGGATGCACCAGTGGAGATCACTGCCCCTCGGAACTTTTAGGGTTTAGGGTTTAGGGTTTAGGGTTTAGGGTTTAGGGTTTAGGGTTTAGGGTTTACAAACAGCAGCCCATCCCTTCTGCGGCATGCAGGCGTGTTTTTACTGATGGTTCGCAAAGCAGGGGAACGGATCCCAATAGCCCGTTGTAGTCTAGAGGCCACCAGCAAGTGCCCCTTAGGTTTTTGAGCTCGGGCTCCCTATACAACCCCCAGCCACTGACAGTAGATGGGTTTAGGGTTTAGGTTTTAGGGTTAGTACCATGATATACTATGAAGAGTGTATGTTTGCGTGTTGCGGGGTACGGGGATCCTACTATCAGGCGGAGGTGACGAATAGCCCCAGATCTAAGCATCATAGAGTGTAGGGTTTCGTTGCTAAAAGGGTTTAGGGTTTGGGGGCACTTCTCTCCTGCCCCTTGGCACCTCTACCTGGAGCCATGTCCTCGTTGGAACTGCGCGTCGCCCTACTGAGTGGAGAGGAGGCTACAGTTGTTCTGCCTCGCATCTCTTCTGTCGACACCTTACGAAAGAGGGCCCAAGACATGCTCAACAACAGCATTGGAAAGCTCATCACTACCGCTGGTGTCCTGCTACAGGGTTCTGCTTCTCTGGAAAGCGCAGGCCTTAGCGATGGCGACGTTGTCACCGCCCTGGTGCAGGAAGGAGCTCTGGTGGCAACCGAGGCTGCCTTTGCTTTCATTCGCCCGGATGGCTCTGTAGTGACCTGGGGGGACCCTGATTCTGGTGGTGATTCTCGTGCAGTTCAAGAAGATCTACGGGACGTGGTTCAAATCAAGGCAGCAGGAGCAGCCTTTGCTGCCATTCGACGTGATGGCTCTGTGGTGACCTGGGGCTGCAGAGGACTCGGGGGTGACAGCTCCAGAGTCCGGAGCCAACTCCGACATGTGAACCAGATACAAGCGAATATGGATGCCTTCGCTGCGATCACAGAGGACGGACGTGTGGTGGCTTGGGGTGATCCAGAGGCAGGCGGTGACTGCAGTTTGGTGAGTGATCAGCTTCATGATGTCAAGCAGATCCAATCGACCATGAGGGCTTTCGCAGCTTTGCGTGCAGATGGGCGCGTGGTGACGTGGGGTGACGAGGAGTGCGGGGGCGACTGCACCGATGTGCGCCATGAGCTTGAGAACGTTCGGAAGATAGCCGGCGGACAAGGAAACTTCGCTTTTGCTGCCATCACGGCCCTGGGCCGGATTGTGGTTTGGGATGGCCTCGATAGTGCCGTACACGAAACCGGACTTGACAACATCGAGTATTTTTATTTGAGTGATCCTTACCGATGGGTTGCTGCCACGGAGGATGGGTGCCTGGCGCTGCGCTTGACGTCACGCCAAGGCAACGCTGTTTTGAAGGTTCCGGATTTTGGAACCAAGATGCAGAGCCTCGACAAAGCTTCAGTGGCGCTGATCCAGCGGGATGGAACTGTGGAGTTTTGGGGCTGTGCTGTCCCGCAACCGCTGCGAGATGAACTGAGAGATGTTCTGCACATTCAGCGGACCGATCGCGCGTTTGCTGCGATCCGCTCCGATGACTCCGTTGTGACCTGGGGAAACCCGCGTGATGGAGGTGACAGATGCGCAGTCCAGCAGCAGCTGACAAACATCAAAGCCATACAATCAAACCGCTGCGCTTTCGCGGCGATTCGTGAAGATGGGACCGTTGTTACTTGGGGAGACACTTAGAGATACTTTGGAATATTTTTATTTTTTGGGTACGATACCATGACCTTCCAATAGACCCTTATGTCAGCTTTAAGCCCTTGCAAGAGACTTTTGCGAAAACAATAAGCTGTTATGTTAAGGGTCTGTTGTTTCAACAGGCGTTTATGTTAGAGACAACCAGCTTTTATGTTAGAGGCAACAGGTGTTTCTATTTCAACAGTATTTCGAAAAATGCTGTTGGGTTTTATTTTTCATATATGTAGTGTTTTTATAGACCACAAGCCAGAAACCCGAAAACTTACAGTATACAAGCAATCGTAATCGGTTCCTCCCTTCCTTCCAGTCGCAGTCTCACTTGACCACAGCAGGGCCCTGTTTTCACCTTGAGTCCAAATGTGGCACAGAGAACTCAGCAATGGAAATCTCCAGGTGATAAACTTCCAAGCAGGCGCACAAGCAGAACTGATTTTTCCAGCACTTCCCCGGCCGATCTCACTGCTCGTCGTTCTTCGGTGCCTGACAGATCAAGGCGGCTGCCAAACTGCAAAACAAAGTTGGGGAAAAAGTTAGGCATGTTGCAGATGTTGCAAGCAGCATTTTCTACAGGGCAACTTCGAAGCTGCACTCGAAGGTCAGAACTGCTCAGCGCAAGAGAAATGTTTCGACTTCCCGTTCACCCTTTTGTTGGGCGTCGTGGGCTTCTCCTTTTGATCCTGGGCATGGGCTGTCCTTGCTCTTGGCCTTGGGTTTCAGCTTTGCAGCAACCATGCCAACCTCACACATGGCCAAGCATGTGTTCACAAACAGCAAGGACAGCATCATCTGCACTGTGCTCTCTTTGTCGACGGGAGGAGGTGGGGCTTGAAAGCAAAAACGGCTACATGGGAATCGAAATTTATGCATGCTTGCAAGTCAATTGAAACAGCTCCAGCCTAGCAAGCTTGCAGACACTTCTTTTGCCTGGAAGCGATTCCAGAAACACACCGTTCCATTTTTGGTCAAGCCTTCTAAATCTTTCGTTTCTTGGGCGTCGGCTGGCCCAAGATACGACTGTCATCGCTGCCTCACTTTCACCATCAGGGTCCGGCGATTCACCTTCGTTCTTCTCATCTTCATCTATCTTCTTAATCTCCGTGACCTGGGGATCAGTGTCCTGCGATTCATCCTTGCCATCCCTGTGCTTGTCAAGCCAATCCAAGTAGGCCATCGCCTGGAGGCATGGATATTTTTCTTCCGCATTCTTCTTGGTGCTGCTCTCCTGCGATGCCTGGCTCATATCTTCCATGGCTGGATGTTGCAGGCTAGGGCCCCTGTGATTGTTTGAACGTCTTCGGGCATGGTGTGCGATGGTCACACAGCCATTACTCATTACTCATTCATTCTTCCTCCCTTCCCCTCGATCTCGGCCTCGGTTCTCTGGATGCCGACCATGATGCTCCTGACGCAAAGGGTCGGCGGGGCGTTTTTTTTTTTTTTCACTTCTTCTCAATGTTTTTTTATTCCTAGTATATATATATATATATGTTGTTATTGGCTGATGCTTTTTTGGGTTTCTGCAGTGCTGACAAGCCCAGCAGCCCCCAGACCAGGGAGAGAGAGAGAGAGAGAGAGAGGGGGTGAGGGGGAGAGCGAGAGCGAGAGCGAGAGAGAGCGAGAGAGAGAGAGAGAGAGAATGAGAAAGACAGAAAGCGAGAGAGAGAGAGAGAGAGAAACAGGAAGAGAAAGAGAAAGAGACAGAGACAGAGAGAGAGAGAGAGAGAAAGAGAAAGAGAAAGAGAAAGGGAAAAAGAAAAGAGAACGAGAACGAGAACGAGAAAGAGAAAGAGAGAGAAAGAGAGAGAGAGAGAGAGAGAAGAATAGCGGGGTCACTCCCCTCAAGCCCCGAAGAAGAAGAAGAAGAAGAAGAAGAAAAGAAGAAGAAGAAGAGAGAGAAGAATAGAGAGAGAGAGAGAGAGGGAGAGAAATGAGAGAAATAAAGAAAAAGCAAGAGAGAGAGAGAGAGAGAGAGAGAGAGAGAGAGAGAGGGAGAGAGGGAGGGAGAGAGGGAGAGGGAGAGGGAGAGGGAGAGGGGAAAGGATTGGAAATAGGGGTCGGAATAAAGTCGAAGTCAAGTGGACACCGAAGGGACTGTGGGGATCATAGACACACCACGCCACAGAGGGTCCAGGACGGGCTAACCCTTAGTCTTAAGGTGGAATTAGAGCGCGGCTAGTTTTGATGGGGGTCCGAGATGATGTATTGATCGGGTAGATGGGGGTGCACGGACCGCGACGAGAGGCGGATATCGAGCGATGAAGTGGTCGGTCTCAGTTTAGCTGTGCAGGTGAGGGACGGTGTGGGAACAAGCTCGATAGTGTCACACCGAAGAGACACAAGCAGACGAGCAGATGTAACCGAACGGGGGAACATGCTCGTCGGCTCTTCGGGGTCCAATATCACAAAGAAACCGGACTGCGTGGCTGGGCGCGCCCAGTGCGTGGGGAGGGGGAGACCCTTCCTCAGGCCCCGTAGCAGAAGAAGAAGAGAGAAAGAGAACGACAGACAGAGAGAGAGAGAGAGAGAGAGAGGGCAAGAGAAAGAGATAGAGAGAGAAAGAGAGATAGATGGAGAAAGAGAGGGAAAGAAAGAGAAAGAAAGAAAGAAATCGAGAGAGAGAGAGAGACAAAGAGAGAAAACGAGAAAGAGAGAGAAAGAGAGAGAGAGAGAGAGAAAGAAAGAGAGAGAGAGAGAGAACGAAGAAGAGACAGAGAGAGAAAGAGAGGCAGAGAGAGAGAGGCAGAGGCAGAGAGAGAGAGAGAGGAAGAGAGAGAGAGAAAGAGAGAAAGAGAGAAAGAGAGAAAGAGAGAAAGAGAGAAAGAGAGAAAGAGAGAAAGAGAGAAAGAGCGAAAGAGAGAAAGAGAGAAAGAGAGAAAGAGAGAAAGAGAGAAAGAGAGAAAGATAGAAAGAGAGAAAGAGAGAAAGAGAGAAAGAGAGAAAGAGAGAAAGAGAGAAAGAGAGAACGAGAGAACGAGAGAACGAGAGAAAGAGAGAAAGAGAGAAAGAGAGAAAGAGAGAAAGAGAGAAAGAGAGAAAGAGAGAATACCGGGGCAGGCGCACAGCCAGGGGGTTCGCCCCCACGCCCCCAAGAAAGAAAGAAAGAAAGAGAGAAAGAGAGAAAGAGAGAAAGAGAGAAAGAGAGAAAGAGAGAAAGAGAGAAAGAGAGAAAGAGAGAAAGAGAGAAAGAGAGAAAGAGAGAAAGAGAGAAAGAGAGAAAGAGAGAAAGAGAGAAAGAGAGCAAGAGAGCAAGAGAGCAAGAGAGAAAGAGAGATAGAGAGATAGAGACATAGAGAGATAGAGAGATAGAGAGATAGAGAGATAGAGAGATAGAGAGATAGAGAGATAGAGAGATAGAGAGATAGAGAGATAGAGAGATAGAGGGAGAGAGAAAGAGAAAGAGAGAAAGAGAAAAAGAGAAAGAGAAAAAGAGAGAGAGAGAGAGAAAGAGAAAGAGAAAGAGAGAGAGAGAGAGAGAGAGAGAGAAAGAGAGAGGGAGAGAGAGAGAGAGAGGAAGAGAGAGAGAGAGAGAGCGATAAAGAGAGAGAGAGAGAGCGAAAGACAGAGAGAAAGAGAAAGATAAAGAGAAAGAGAAAGGGAAAGGGAAAGGGAAAGATAAAGAGAAAGAGAAAGGGAAAGAAAGAGAAAGAGAAAGAGAAAGAGAAAGAGCAAGAGAGAGAGGGAGACGTGTGGAGTAGAAATGAAGGAAGCAAGCAACCATTATTTTTTCTTTCTTTCTATCTTCCTTCCATCCTTCCAGCTCTCTATCTCGCTCTCTCTCTCTGTCTCTCACTTTTTGTGTTTCGGGTTTTGGGTCTATGGTTTAGGGTTTAGGGTTTGGTTTAGGGATTCGGATTACGGGCTTACTGTGAGGGTTTAACTGTTTTAAGGTTTAGGGTACAGGGTTTAGGGGGTCCAGGTTTTTTTCTCGTATTTTCCTGTTTTTTTTCGTGTTTTCCACGGTTGAGGGTTTAGGGTTTAGGGCTTTATTCTCACCTAAAACCGTAGAAAATACGGAGAAACCAATGAAAACACGAAAAAAGAACCAGCAGCCGGGTTTCGGCTTTGGGGTTTGGGATTTGGGGGGTTGAGGGATTGAATTGCTTGGACTTTGGGGGTTGTGTGGTTTTGGTTTAAGTTTCGGGGTTTTGGGTTCGGGGTTCCGGGCTTAGGGTTTGGGCGCTATGGGTTTAAGGCATAGGTTTGGGGGTTTCGGCGGTCTCGTCGTCTGCATACTGCGCCTGGTTTAGCCTTCCGCCCAAGCGTTACGCCGCACTTGAAGGCATGCCGGGGTTCGTGTAAATGCCACTCCAATCCAAAACCCCCTGGGACCCTTAAACGTCCCGACCCCTCCACTCAAACGCTGCCCTCTCTACGTCCGTGTTACCAGTCCGTGCGATTGGGAGGGGCGGGGGGGGGCTTGGGAACGTCCATTCTTGGTAGCATCCATGTCCGTCGGCATCCACCTTTTGAGCTGCATGCCCTGAACCCTTAGCCTTCACCCTAAGCCCTCAACCCTTACCGCTGAACTCTTAACCCTCAACCCTAAACCCTTAACCCTAAATCCTGCGTCTTCTGCCCTTTGCAGTTCCTGCTAATGTTGTTCGATAAAAAAGCGCGGGTACCTTATTTTTTTGGTGATTTTTTCTGGTGTTTTTGTGTTTTTCCTGTTTTTTTGTCAAATGTAAGGCACGAAAGAAAGGAAGGAAGGCAGGAAGGCAGGAACACAGGAAGAAAGAAAGAAACAAAGAAAGACAGAAAGGAAGGAAGCAAGAGGAAGAACAAATAAGGAAACAAAGAAAGAAAGGCAGGAATGGAAAGAAAGACTGCAAGAAAGAAAGAAACACAGGCAGGAATAGAAAGAAAGATAGAAAGAAATACAGAAAGAAAGAAAGGCAGGAATAGAAAGAAAGACAGAAAATCAAGAAAGAAAGAAAGACAGGCAGGACTAGAAAGAAAGACAGAAAGAAAGAAAGAGAAAGAGAGAA